ACTCCCAGTGTCCCCAAACCCCTCCCGGTGTCCCCAAACCCCTCCCAGTATCCCCAAACCCCTCCCGGTGTCCCCAGCCGCTCCCGGTGTCCCCGTGTCACCTTCTCGAGGACAAAGGCCAGGTTCTCCAGGAGGTCCCCGCGGGTGTAGGTGGCCTGGGTGTCATCGGCGCCGTCCTCGTAGCCCTTGAGGAACAGGTGCTTGAAGGCCACCGTGTTGTCCTCCTTGAAGGCCACCACCAGCTGGTTACTGAGCCCGAACAGGATCAGCTGGGGACAAAGGCCACCACCTCTGTCACCTGCTGTCCCATCGTGGTGACACTGCTGTGTTTGGTCCCAAAACGGTGTCACAGATTGGGGACAAAGGCCACGGCTGCCATCAGCCCCTGTCCCACCGCAGGGACGCTGCCATGCTTTGTCCCAGAACACTCCATCGTCCCTTTCCGAGTGTCCCCATGTCCCTGTGTCCCTTTCTGAGTGTCCCCACGTCCCTGTGTCCCCTTCCCAGTGTCCCTGGCACCACCCCATGTCCCTGTGTCCCCTCCTCAGTGTCCCTGTCCCCTCCCTGGTGTCCCAGCCCCTCCTGCTGCCATCCCCGGTGTCCCCATGTCCCTGTGGCATGTCCCTGGTGTCCCCATGTTCCTTCCCTGGTGTCCCCACACCCCTGTGCCCCCTCCATGATGTCCCCGCTCCTCCTGCTGCCATCCCCGCTGTCCCCCCACTGTCCCCACTGCCATCTCCGCTGTCCCCGTGGTGTCCCTGCTGCCATCCCCGCTGTCCCCACTGCCATCCCCACTGTCCCCGCTGTCCCCTCGCTGCCATCCCCGCTGTCCCCGGTGTCACCTGCACGGTGACGAGGACGATCTTGGCAAGCTGCAGTGCCAGTTTGACGGGCCGCCTGCCGCGGGCCCGGTACTTGTCACAGGGGCTCATGAAGAAATACTTGAGGCGCCGCCGCAGCTCTTCCTCCTCATCTTCCTCCTCCTCGTCCCCCGGTACCGGCGCCGTCCCGGCCGTGCCGTACCCGGGCCCGCCGCCCAGCAGCCGCTCGGTCTCTGGGGACACCCGCCGGTGTCACCTGGGGCCGGTGTCACCCCCTGGGCCGTGTCCCCCC